CCCATCCCGGGCAGTGTTCAAGGCCAGGTTGGACACAGGGGCTTGGAGCAACCTGCTCTAGTGGAAGGTGCCCCTGGAGAAGACAGCAGGGTTTGTGCATGACACCCACTTGTTGTGCTTTGCCCCCAGACGTATTCCCTCCGCCTGACCTGACGGAAGAAGGTCTAGCCCGCCCGGTGCTGGCTGGCATCGTTGCCACCATCTGCTTCCTGGCTGCTGCCATCCTCTTCAGCACACTCGCCGCCTGCTTCGTCAACAAGCAACGCAAACGCAAGCTCAAGCGCAAGAAAGGTGAGCCCATCCCCTCTGTGTGCTTCCTCCTCCTCTTCCTCCTCCTCCTCCTCCTCGTTCCTCCTCCTATGTTGTGTTGTGGTGGTAACCGTCTTCCCTGTCTGTCTCTTCTTCTGTGCGTGCGCGTCCTCAGGTGAAGCCCTGACTTCATCCCTCGTCTGTGCCTGAAAGAGCCCGTGGTCGGGAGCGGGAGAGGCAGGGTGGGTGAAGAGGAGACAGAGGAACTAGCCTGGTGATGGGGTGTAGGGTTGGGGTGTTGAGCCCCTCTCCTCCATCAGGTCCCACGGAGCTGGGCTCTCTAGCTCCTTTCCACCCAAGCAAGCGCCCCACAGCCACATTATGCTAGAGAAGACCCCCACAATGGAGACCCTGCTGCTCTGCTTCCCAAAAGCTGGGGCTGCAGCCACCAGGCAGGAGTGGCTCATAGGGAAAATGGTGGCTGGAGAGCCAGGAAGGGCAGCAGCTCCTCTATCCTGCAAGACTAGATGACCTTGCAAGGTCCTTTCCAACCCATGTGATTCTATGAGCTAAGTAAGATACGGCAGCAGGATGGGCAGGACCCTGTGACGGGAGCTGTGTGTTGTCAGCAACCATTAAAGCACTTGGAGCAATGAAACCTTGGCCTCTTGTTGAGTGTCTTTTGTTGTCTTGATGTTGAGTTTGTCTTGCCTCTGCCATGTTGCGCCTCCTCAGCGTTCTCTCTTCTTTCCCCTTTTTATTCTCTTCCAGACCCTCCTCTCTCGATAACCCACTGCAGGAAGAGTTTGGAGTCCCCGTAAGTATCTGTCTTAGATGCGGCACCAGGCTGTGGGTCTTCAAGGTGCCTCCTTCCTACAGTTGTTGCAAAGCTCACATGGAAATGTCTGACCTTGTTTGGTTGCTCCTGACGAGTGGTTTTGGGTATTCTCTGAACTTGTGGGACCACAACAAGAGGCAAATGGGCTTTGGAGCAGAAAACAGGGACAAATGCAGCTAAGCGATGACCCCGTTGGATCTGTGACCACTGACCAAAGCTGGAGTTGGCTGATGGAACTCAATTTCACACCCAGCTTGAAGGGGCTACTTAGGAGAAGGGTTATCCTGCTGCATATGAGTCCTTCGTGCAAGCCCGGTGTAGGTTTTGGGTGATTCTGTGTTGGTTCCGGTTTTACTTGGGAAATCCAGGGAATCTTCCACCTGCATCATTTCTTTTCCCATCCGGAGTGCTCCGCTGAAGCCTCTTCCCCCACGTGCCCTAAGGTGGTGGATTGTGGTGCTTGCAGTAGCCATCAAAAGCATGTATAGCTGCTAATCAGCAGGAGCATCTTCATGGGAGTCAGATGTGGACACCTCATGCTTTGGCTCCTGTGGACCTCTGTCAAATGTCCCAGTGCTGGTAGATCTTAAACTTGTTTGATTTTGGTTCATCCACTGCACTGGAATAACCATCCCTGTGCTGTCTTTGTTGGATCTGCTGCCTTTTGTCTGTCAATCCTGTTTGTCCGAGGCTTTCTGGGTGAACTATTCTGATGCTCTCTGCCTTTTGAGGCTCTCAGCCTTAAGTTGGAGTGTTGAGAATGGGGGAGAAAGTTGGTCTGAAATGATCCATCAACATCTGCAAGTGAGATACTGAGTTCTGCAGGAGGGGAACGTTTGCCTGATGTCCCTCTTAGGGGCTTTCTCTGTGTGGATAGCTCAGGTGGACATAGGAAACCTTTGGAGGAGTTGGAAGTGAGCTCTGGATCTGTCTTTCGTCCTGCTAGGGCTGTGGAGCTGGTTGGAAGGTGTTGGTGGAGCTGGTTGGAAGGTGTTGGTGGAGCTGGTTGGAAGGTGTTGGTGGAGCTGGTTGCAAGGTGTTGGTGGAGCTGGTTGCAAGGTGTTGGTGGAGCTGGTTGCCTCGGCGAGGATGCTGAGCTCTGTTCCAGAGGAGTAGGATGATGGGCATTGCTGCTGGTCCTCTGGCCGGGCAAGACTTTGCCATCCTGGTTTCTCCCAGCGGTTCCTCTTTGGAGAGCTGGTAGCACTCTGTTCTCTGGATCCAGCTGGTGGTTCTTCTGCACGAGAAGACCTCCTTTCCCCTCCGGGTGACAGTCCCCTCTTGGTTTTTCTCCCTTGTGGTCCAGGTTGTCTTCCGGCAAGGTGAGTCCCGAGAGCATCCGCACACTCCGTCCCCCTTCGGAGTCCTCTGACGACCAGGGCCCACAGGCCAAGCGGATGCTGAGCCCCACCAAGGAGAAGGAGCTTTCCCTTTACAAGAAGACCAAGCGAGCCATCAGCAG